TGGCTCTTGATCAGTTGCCCAGTGACAAGCCAACTGGACAAACCTGCGACTATAACTATGCTTCATTGGCAACGTGCGCTCCACAGTTTGGGCTGCAAAGTATGGGCCATATTTGAAGAAGTGGTGAAGTGCAAATCGAATGAGTATGAGTGACATCAACTGGCCAAGTTGGGCGCTAAACACTGTTTTGTTGCCGAGCCGAAACATCAGGGAGGACGGACCAGATACTCTTGGGTTAACAAGGTGTACTTGTGAAGACTCAAAACCTACTAGTAGCAAGGACACTGTTAAGTGGAAGCCATCGCAAGTAGGTTGGAGGCCATCGCTACTAGGAACAAGGACGCTAGTAGCAAGGTGCCTCCTAAGACTCACCCTACCAGTCTCTCACAACAATGGTTCCGGTCGGCACCTGCGCCCCTTGGAGTTGTTTCCCGCCACAGGCAGCAAGCGAAAGAGGCGTGCCTCAACTCTTGACCCAATGGTCCATCACTATGGATTGACCGCATGGGTTGGAAAAATAAATACAACAACTGGGATAGGTAGGATAGTAATAAACTGTAACCTGAGAAGGGGGGGGACGAAAGCCAACCGTCTCAGACCGCAGGTCTTAGATAGCTGCGCCACAGCAATAAGATCCTCGACTAAGCAGAACATGGCAGATGCATCTTCGAGCATTTGAATTCAATCTTGCAAGCCGCTGCTTGAATTGCATTTTGACGATCTTGGGGGACAAGTTGGACAAACTCGTAAAACGAAGGAGTTTCGCCCGCCGCCGGAGATGAACTGTGAACACAGGCGTGGAAAGACATGCTGGATCTAAATGCGAAGAGTCAGACTTTTTTGGTTTGTGCCCTTTTGCGCTTTGTTTGAGAGTTGCGGGGCAAAATAAGCACCTCAGAAAAAGTAGGTTCTAGCACAAAGTTTGCCTAGAAAAGTAAGTCAGCGCCCAGGTTCCGTGTCGGTGCCAACAATGATACTTCCGAATCCAGCGCATTCTGAGAAGACAAAAAAAATCGCCAGAGCCCGCTAAAACAAACACGATCTAGGACACCAACAAAAACTCCTCCCGAAGGTCTTTCCATGTCTCAATCTGCTGCGTTTGTGCCCTTGTCTTTGCCCGGAGGCGACCCTCAGACACCACGTTCGACCCGCATCTGTGCATGGCTTGACTTCACGAAAATGGCTTGACGAAGAACGACGAGCAGAAACAAAAAGACCGCAAATCATAACGGCTTGAGGGCTCTCGACCAATTCGCCAAGACAACCCAAAAGATGCCGTGAAGCCCAGTGTGTGATGCAAATAGCTAAATAATGCATAATGATGCTAGAATCAATCACTGCACTCGCATCACAAAAAGGGCTTCATAATGCGACTTTACTACTCGCCAGTTTTTCACTCTCTCCAAGCAGGCTCTGTTCACCCTTCCAAAACCTGCCTTTTCTAAACTAATTACCCACCACACCCCCTAAATACTCACTTCGGTCGCCTCACAGAACTTCCGTCTAGCCTATCGGCTGGCTTTCGTAATACGTCCAAAACCCTGGTACAAAAAAAGGGTACTGGTGCAGGAATGCTTTTCTGTTGGAAGTGCGTTCTGAAGTCGTTGCTGCGTAGACCAGTTTGGCTTCTTCTGACGAAACCCTCTCATATGTCGTCAAGGTGGATGGCTTTCACATCAAGTTCGTTTGCCATCAATCTCATATGAGCAAACATCCAATGGATTCTTGTTACTACTAGTAACAAGTGCCACGCTAGTAGTAACAAGTGCCTTACTAGTAGTAACAAGAAGCTATTAGAGGAAAAAAAAGGACTTGATAATATTGAGTCATGCAAGAAGCCATCCGCTCACCGCATGCGATTTGGTCAAGTGGTTAAGGTCCATCCCTTGAGGGACCTGTCTGTAGTCGAAGTGTCCCGTTTCCACCGACGAGGTTTGCAGGCCGACCTGTTGAGAAAACCTTTCCCACGTCTTCTGTGCCGGTTGGGGACCTCTTTCTTTTTCGGTGCAGAGTTCGTGTCCACAATATGTGTCAAATGAAATGTCTTTCATGTGTCCTTCATGACTCAACACACTCATTGTGATTGCAGTTCGACCTCTACTATCGAGTGCACATGGACCTCTATAGGGGGCTTTGTTCCGATCCTTGCAGTTCCAACAGTGGGAGCTGCAGCGCAACATCTTCGCCACGGGACCTCGCGCGAAGAAGAAGCCCTCCCTGCCTGAGCACCACCCTGTTGGGTCGCTTCAGCCTGAACAAACAGGTTCCCCATAGAGTGTGTTGAGGCGAGGTCTTTTGAGAAAACAAAGTCCATAGATAAGCAATCAACAACCCTGGGCTTTGTCAAGCCTGTTCCTGCCAGATAATTAATCAAGCTCAATCTTAATGGAAGGATCAAGCCAAGTCCCTCATGACTTAAAGCTGGACAAATCTCTGAGGCATCGGCAGGTTTGTGGAAGTCAACATAACATGAGCTGAGTGGTTGGCTTTTCCTGATGCAGTTCGAGCAGCTTGTGTGACTTGGTCACCTCCAAAAAGTACCCACCAAAGAGATATCTTTGTTTGAAAGGCCGTTGGATTGGCAAGCGCTCCAAACCTAAAGTACGTATGTTGAAAAGGCCCTGCAACCTGTGTGCTTCATCCTGCATCTTTACATGCAGGGATCGAGATCTTGAAGCATTATCAAAACAATTATATAACTAGCGCCCGAACAGAAACACAAGGCGGAACGGCAGCAAAGTAGAGTGAACCGACTCTCGACAGATTGCACCGACTTCTTCTTGCAACGTCACAACTCCCTCGGGCCTCCGGGTACCACTGCGATCTGTGCAGCAAAAGCCTTGGCAAAGAGGAAAGCAGTCAAAATCGGAGCCTCCTGGTGCAGCTGAGGCTGCTTGCGAGATCCTTTAAGAACAGACTGTAAAGAACTAAAGGCCTTCCAAGTTCCAAGGTTCAAGAAAAGAAAGTGTGGCTGTCAGGCATGACATGACTACCACATGAGCTGTTTCAAGCTCGGCTTCATCCAACTCGTCTGTGATGGGCTGGGACGGCAAGTCGCCCGTGGGCAAGTTGACTGCCATTTGGGATGCTGGAGCTTTTGAAACTGTCTGCAGTTCTGCAAACAAAATGGGAAAAAGGTATTGGCAATGACCTTATCATCAAGTATATTTTCAGGCGGGTTCCGTAGCCTTTTCCCTACGTGCTGCACACAAATACAGCAGCTGAAAGCATGGTGAGACCTTGTGATAAATCTTCTCTATAAGGGTCTAGATTCCATACGTTTACGGATTTGTATAACAGCCACCAGGGCATCTCCGCCGCCAGGCCTGAAGAGGCAACGCAAGAAAATCTGTAGCGAACATTGTTACTTGTAGTAAGGCCAGGAGCCCCTAGTAGCGTCCTTGCTCCTAGTAGCGATGCCAGGAGCCCCTAGTAGCTTCTTGTTCCTAGTAGCGTCCTAAATCTTAATACCTACAAATACTTGTGGTGAATCTTCATTCAGGCAGGTACTGCTGGTGATGCCCATGGTACTCCTGAGGCAAGCCCATTCCAGGCCAAAAGCTTTGCACTCTTCGCTATGGCAAGGAATGTCCGGAACCGGAACAACCACACATGTAAGTCTCGCAAAGGTTCAAAAGGAACACGAAAAGGATGCCTTGGTGCCGCCGCAACATTAAATGACTCAAGACTCAAGACTCAATCCAGTCTCCTGGTCTCAGGATGTCTCAGGCAAGCAACGTGCCCGCACCACAGTCGCTTTACAAGCGCTGTGGCACGGAGCACGGATAGAAATCTACACTATCGGAGTTGCATTGGTCGACTGAGCCGAATGGACGGTCCACATTCTGGGCGGATCAAACATGATCAGATGCATCAAACATATGACAAAGGATGTTATGATATGTTTACTACTTCTTGTTTCTACTAGCTTCTTGTTACTAGTAAGGGCCTTGCTCCTAGTAGCGATGCCCTTTGCTCCTAGTAGCGTCCTTGTTCCTATGTCAGTTCGCACGCTAACTCTGACGTCTACCTGGTATGTCCGGTCGGTTGGTCCTTTGAGTCTTGAGAAGCTTCACGGGACCGACTCCAGCTTTTGGATAGGACTCAAACCGTGGGAAGAAGTACTGGTCACCTGATCTATAGCCAGCAATCGGGGCTCGTAAATGGCTTCCTGTGTTCATCTTTCCTCCATACTAGACAGAGCCCTGTAGTGCAAACCCTGAGCAAAGGTCCTTTAGAGAAGGACGAGCCAGTTGGGAGGACAAATTTCACACAGGCAAGCTGTTGTACCCGGCGATCGCTGTTGAGACTTGCGATCCCTTTTCACGAACTTTTCAGGCGTGTTTCACATTGTTCACCAACTCCACAGCGGACCTGGCAGATCGCAGCGTGCATGTGCAGTTATGCGCAGTTCATGGAGATGCAGTACAGTTTCGAACTTCCAGGAGCTTCAGGTTGATTCTGACCTCAAACAACCAATCTTTCAAGGATTTTTGTTTTCGGACCAACATAATTGCGCGCGTGCTGGTCGGATTGAAATTCATTCAATTATACAGAATGGATACTGTACACTGAGAAGGAGGGCCTCGTGCTTTTCTCGCACTCTAGTCTAGTCTAGCTCTCTATCAAGTTTGATCGGTACACAAAAGCAACCTCCTCAGCTGTCAATCCTTCTCAGCTGTCTATTCCAGCGCGGTCGTCTCGCTAAAATGGTCCACAAGGTGAGGTCTGCTCGACAAACCAGAGAAGTCAGCTCAACCACACTCAGCGGAATTGTAGTATTAGTGGAGTGGGGAGCTGCAGTCTCTGACAATGCTTGGCATGCATTCAGGATGGAACGAATAGCTTGTCCTGTTGCCGGCCCCAACACAGTGGCTTATCGTTTCTACTATCGTTTCTATTGTGTAATTCATCTGGGCAGCTGGTCCAAGCTAGGAGTGAAACGGGTCCCATCGCCTGCGGTCCCATGAATTGACGAGTCATACAGCGATCGCCGGGTGTCACTGAAATTGTACACAGTTGACATTCATCACCTCGCAAGTAGCGAGTTGACACTGCAGAGAAACCTCCTGGGACCTTGCTGGTACTCGTTCTACCATCTTCTACGGTTTTGGTGTTAGCACTTGTTGGCACTTTAAGCGGCGAGAGTAAAGCCGAGCTGTTGGCATGACGATGACAAAAAGCTAAAGAACTCTTCATGGTGAAGCTATGTGAAGCTTATGTCCTCTACAAGTATGCACCAGTCTCGCTTACATTCCGTACAAATCTACCTTTGCAATACAAGTACCAAAATTCCTGGCAACAAATATGCAAAGACCTCCACTTGGCTTGGCCTCGCGCCTCCAAATCCTTTTAAGTCTTGTGGGTCCAGTGAAACTCACACAGCTCCTGTCGGGTCCAGGCCTCAAGCTCGGCTGGATGAATCTTCAAGGTTCGAGAACTTTGTCTCGTGGGCACAGGCCTCTGCCACAAGAAAGCTGCCAAGCGTCTCATTCGTCGGTCACCCAGGTGGTCACCAAGTTCCTGAAAGAAGAAAAGCACTTCTTCAATCTGGTAGGGTCAATCAAATGCGCGTTTGAAAAAGAACTGCTGACCAAGAGTTTGAGACCCTTAGATGATTTTAAAGGACTGTGTTTTGATGTTTTTCGTGCGTGAAATTTGTTCCTCGGCTGCTCAATACATATCAATACATGGGATGTCACTGAATTGAGCACACTGAAGTGCGTGGGGGTCACAGTGGCCCCACTGTGGCCACAGCGCATGAATGAAGCCTGGGTGAGTTTGCGAGCAACCTTCCGGAGTAACACACTGAAACACAAGATCCCTGCGCCTTCAAATGCTAGAAGTTACCGATTTTGAGGGCAACATCTTGAAAGTAGTAATTAGAAAGCAGTGCAAGACTATTTAAGGCAATGGTTTGAGGGAACGGGAGGAACCGGCACGACATATTGTCCACTTCCCCTGTATATCAAAAGCACTGGCTCTTGATTCTGACACAGCACAAGTCAGTGCAGATGTTCGGGTGTACGTGATTAGAGTCTCGCAGTGACCTGAGGGCAGATGGGCCGTTCACCTGCGTTGACCGTGTCGCTTAGAGAACCTCCGGCTGTTAAGACAAACTGCTGCAAGGCAGGCGCACTGCCTCCCCAACAAACCCACCAATTGGAAAACTACACGACAAGTGGCCCGGGAGCGTTTAGACACACGCATGTATAAGTTCCGCTGATTGTTGTTCAGTGTGTTTTACATTTTGTATCAACGCGTGCTGATCACGCATTTTTAACTTGTTACTTGTCGCATCGTTGGCACTCTTGTAAGACACACTCGTATGACACTCTTGTGGACACTCTTGTAAAACACCTTTGCAGGACGCTCTTGCGTGACACTCTTTGTAAGGCACTCTTGCTTGACACTTGCAAGGTAGTTGTGAAAACCCTCTTTCCATGGGACACTGTACGGGATGTGGGACACTCTTGTAAGGCATTCTTGTGGGACACTTGTTAGGCATTCTTCTGGTCCCCAGCAACATGCCGCGTTTACGCACGCATGCTTGTCGTTTCCCAATGACACGGAGCCACGCAAATGGCACAGCGACATCACAAACGTAATTTTGCCCCACTGTGTGCCACAGATTGCGGACCACCCCCAATCACCCTGCTTCCCGGCGACACGCCTCGTTTACGCAAGCGCTGTTCGTTTCCCTAATGGCACGGAGCCACGAACGCACTTTCCACCGAGGCCGCGCAAAACTGCATGGCACAGCGACAACACAATTAGCGCCACACAGTGTGCCACATGCAACAAGGCAGCACCAAGCTCCCAGAAGCTGCTTCCCGCACCATGTGTAAGTTGCCGCGCTACATAGTTCTGAGGCCGCAGCGCCAAGGCTGCGCTACATTTGCGCTACAAAGGTGCCAGTTCTGCTCCCAGAAGTTGCTTCCGCTCTACATGTGTAAGGTTGCCAGTTCTGAGGCCAGAAGCTGCGTCCCGGCTACATCTGTACTACAAGGTTGCCAGCCGGCGACGTTTACACACTTTGGCAAAGTCCACCTATGTCCACATTCATGTTTGACGACAGTTAAACACATTGACAACTTCCACCTTGGTTTTCAACCACAGACACAATTTGGCAACTTTTCACCTTGATTTGCGACGACAGTGACACACTCGACACGCACGATCTCCGCACAAGGCTCACGGCGGCCGAACAAATTCCCATTTCACATCACGTTTGAACGATCGACGCGCACGATCCCCGCAAAGGTTTTCGTATTTCATCCCACGCTTGAGCACTCGACATGCACAATCTCCCAACATGGTTCATCAGAGGTTGTGGGGAGCAAGGAAAGGGTCCTGGGTAGAATAAGAGAAACTTGTTTGTGCGTTATCTCACACAGCGTTTCGGAGGGTATGTGTCAAGATGTGTCATTTGTCTCCTTTCTGTCTCCCTGTTTTCTCTTTTGTATTTTCTTGCTGTGTTTTTTGTTTGCATCTGCAGTTTGCAGGTCTGCCACAAGTACATCTGCAGCTATTCTAGATGCTGCATTCCTGCAGTTGCACAGTTGCCACTGTAGATGTGCACGCAGTAGATTGCTTTGTGTTGCTGGGCACCGCTGATTAGCTTCGCACTAGCGGGGCATTGTCGCTGTCGCTGGGGCGCTGCCTCTATCTGGTGTAGCTTTCGCTGGGGCCTTGCTTCAGGAAACACATCTGCAAAATATCTCATTCGACTTTCGCTGACGTGTCACATCTCGGCTCTTCGTGTGTCTATTCTTTCTTAGCCGGCGGCCTGGCCGGAGAGGGCTTGCGACACATGATTTTTGTGGGAGTCGCGCGTGTCGGATGCTCAAACGCGAGGTGAATTGCAAATTCCTGACTTGCTACTTACTGGTAAGGAATCTTGACTAATTCAAGAGAGAATCAACGAAGGCATAACCTTTGCATTTGCGATCTGACGCCCGCGGCATTTGCAGCTTGAAATCTGGCATCACGGAGGAAATCATGTCTTCGATTTCTGCTTGCGCGCATCTAGCCGGCACATTCCTGATCATCATCTTGCTGGCTCCATGCCACAAAGGACTGCCTGGGTGAAGCCCAAAATCGTCGTCCCAATAGCGAAGGATTTGGAGGTACTCCAAGTTCACCAAGTTCACTTTGTTTGAATTCTGCACTGGAGCGCAGAAACTGTGAGTCTTCTCACGCACTTCCTCTTCAGCGTTTTCTGGCCAGAACTTGGACGATGGAAGCTTGGCGAGCTCCAATGATGCCATGTCGTTCGGCTACACACTCGGCTGTCGGCATGCTCAGCTGCGGTGGCAGGAACATCGTGAAGATCAATGCGGTTTGCATGCAAGTGCATTATATACACCAAGACATACCTGAACCCCTTTGGCACCAAACGGAAGCTGCCTCAACCACCCTCAAAGGCAACTGGGTCTATGTTGATCCAACATCAAATCTGTACAAAAGCTATGGCTTTTCTGCTCTTTTCTGAATTCCATTCTGTCAGGTCTTCCAGCCACTTGAACATCTAGTCCCTGTCCCCGAAGAAACAGCCGGGCCCAACCTCTGTAGCAATGCCAGCTTTGCCGTGGCCGCTGCAAACTCTGTCTGCACAAATGAAAGTCCATTGGCCAAGGTGGATTGTTGAGGTTCAAGAATCAGTTAAGAAGGCTTGAAACAACTGAGAAGGCTTCAAGCAAAACAAAAGTTAATAAAGGGTTGTACTTTGTAACTAGTAACTGGTAAATCATGCAACATGCATCAACATGCAACAAATCCTCTGTCTGTACCCTTCAGCGTCTTGAACCCACCTTTGTCGTAGTGCCCGCAAAAGTCACTCGGATTGATCAAGCTACACGTCAGGAGAAATCGAATGAAACAGAGAGAGACGAGCAAGCATAGAGTCAACCGCAATGAGGGCCCACAAACAGCCTGGCAAGGACCCTGAACGGGGGTTCCTGTATTTTGATGGCTATTCAACTGGCTATATATTCAACTGGCTAGTGTTTTGGTGTCTTGCTTTTGGGATCCAGCTGCGGTCGGGAACCGTCTCCATCTCGCCTCCGGGAACTCGGCATCACTGCAAAATGCAGTGCGTACACTTCCTGCCACACCAAACTGGTGGAAGTTGCTGTCCCAATTGGATGTACTGAAGAAAATCTGTAACATCTGTGAAGAAGTGTAGATATCTACGCGCTAAGCCTCAGGCCTCAATATGCATGCGTGTTAGAATAGGGAAACTGGAGACCCCTCCAACACCCCTCAAAAGTCAAAAACAAACTAATGTTGACCTCTGATTTATGACGTACCCCTAAGTAAAGTTAGACAACTCCTCGCCCTGATTATATAACAAATGTCCTCTAAATAAGGTTAGGCATGTGCAAAAAAAACGTGGTAAAAACGATGTTAAGTGTTTATAAAATCTGCTGTGCAAATTACTTGATTTTGTAAATAGATTAATAGATGGTTTTAAATGTTCTAAAAATACGGTTGAAGCAAGCTTGTAAAAAACATTAGTTTAACGTGCTCTAAAACATGTTTGAAAGTAGTAAATCATAAGCTTTAATAAATGAACAAAGTACTATATATACTAACACTTCGACATTGGTTTTCAGTTACCTCAATTTCCAGGAAAAAGGGTGATGGAACGGCAAGGTGGAGAGGTCGGCGAGAACCGTATGGTTG